AGCATGTCCATAACTTGTTCTAAACTAATAATTTAGTTAATTGTAGCAAGACATTTTCTATATTTCAGTAAAGTTTCAATCATTTGTTGACTTGTGTTACTTTTGCTCAGTAAAAACAAGCAGAAACTTTTCTTAATGCAGTCCCGAAGATAAACAAATAAATAAATAAATAAATTAATTAATAAATAGCCTCTAAATCCTTCAACAAACGTTTCTTTAATAACTTTTAATATGACATACACATTAAAAAAAAAAGTTTACACTTAATTTTGCAAAATTGCCAAAAATTAAACAATTTCATAATTAATAAATTTTAGTTTTAAATGAATTTTTATCCCATTGAGAAAAGAAAAGTTTTTAAAACTGGAAAAAAGTTTCTTAATTTTTTTGGTCTTTTCATTTGGGTTACAAATATTTTTTTGAGTGTAGCTCTTCGCTGCCACAAAAAGGGTTTTGCTTTTGGAAGCATATCCAGGCTTTAAAACTGGTGAATTTGAATACGATTTATTGCAACAAGTTAGCAAAGTTTTGATTTCAGATAGACTCAAGTTTCAATCGATACGAAAATTCCTATAAGATATAGTATCCCGATTTTGATAAAGCATTGCTGAACCTCTTATTAGCTGAGTTTCTTTAAGTTAACTTGAGAAATAAACAAACTTTTCCCACAAGAATTCAACCTTTGAATTATATAAAGTGCTCCGATTTGTCAAACTTCCATTTTTAGTCGGAGATATTTTTTTCTTCTTCATAACTTAAGACATAAATCTATAATACCCAAGTTCATAAAAATGTGTATCAATTTGAGGCACATTTTAAAGTTTGCCTTAAACCCCTTTTCAAAGCCGCTTTTAGCACAATTTTGTATCTTTCCAGAAAACTCCGATAAATATAATTAATTTCTTATCAAATCTGAAAAGAGCCACAGATCTGACGCTGAATCAATTCAAACAGTTTTACAATCCGGTTTACATAGCCCGCGACTATTTCCTGATCAACTAGTCGAGACGGTTGCAGCGAACGGGTCATAAAAATAGCTTGAAAAGTGAGTAATCGGGTTTAAATTACAGGCTACAATGCGGAAAATTGTAATAGCTTATCCAATAAGTTTTTGTTAAAAGATAATCTTTATGGAATAGTTTACACTGTAATAAAAGAATTTTATTATAAGCAATAAAACAATAAGAGTTTAAAGCAAGCTGTGAGGATTTTATGAAAGGAAGATGAAAACTTTTCGACACAAATTTGAAGATTAAGGAAAAACATGTTAAGAATGTACAAAATATATTTCGGCTGCTTTTGAGAAATGAACTAGTTCATAAGTCCTTAGAATATAGCTTGCAATATGAATTTATATAAAATATTATGAGTTTAGAGCAAGTTGTGAGGGTTTTATGAAAGGAAGATGAAAACTTTTCGACACAACTTACAACCTTTTTTGAGAATGTGTAACAATATTTTGGCTGCTTTTAAGAAATGAACTCGTTCATAAGTACTTAGAATATAGCTTGAGCTGGAGCTATTCAAGCCAAAGGCTTAAAGTTTTTTATATCAAAAGGAATATGTCATCAGTGCAGCCCGAATGGGCACTAAAAAAGTCAACTAACGCCTCACGCAGGCGATCACAGCTCTTAGTATATAGTTCATGTTAACTTTCAGAGCAAATGCTGCGCTCATTTTGGACTGAGACTTTGGATTTACCTTTCAAAAGGGGGGCCCTTTTGAAACCTTTTGTATGCCAAAACAATTATGCAGGCAGCTGGAACTGAAGCTGGGGCTGTGGCTGGAACTGGGACTGGGACTGTGACCATGTCGGGGGGGGTACTTGGGCATTTAGGTGGCATCTCTAAGCTGAAGCCAAGTGGAGACCTCTTTCTGGCACTTGCACATCCTGTCGCCGACAAGTGAATCATTCGTGGCATGCAACAAAAAAAAAAAGAGGAGAAGAAAACAAAATGCCACATAAACTGCTGCAGCAAAGTGAGGCAGCAGCTCCGGCATCTCGTCATGCAACTGTCGACTGTTTCATTCTGCCCTCCCCCCCTCGCAAGCGGCCAGTTTGTCAGCAAGAATAATGCGAAAAAGAGGCCAGCAGTTGAGTGGCAGCCTCGACTGGTTGCAACTCGTAGCTGCGGCTGCCATTGTGGGGGTCTCTTCTTTTGTCTCTGGTTATGCGTGCTTGGGCGCAAATGAAGCGGCTGCCTCAAGAAGTTGCCAGCCAGCGGGCAGAAAGACTCCGACTCAGCTACTGTCAGCTGTTGCCTGCCTGCACGCGCGTCGTATCTTTAAGATACAAAGATACATTTGGAGGGCGGGGGTGGGGCGGTGTATTTGCATGTCGCCGCATTAAATGGAAAGTGCTTGTAGCACCATTTTTTGCACCTAGACTCTGAGTCGATTTTCCCTTTCAGCCCGCGCCCAAATAGTGCGAACTATGAGTAAGCAGACGAGGGCTGCTTTCTATATTGCTAATATCGATAAATATCGATTTGGAGATATGGTTTTTAAGGCATAACTTGAAAACTATAAGAGCTAGTCATGGCAAACTTGGCATGTAGTTTATCATGTAGTCTATACAGATTTTAAATATTCCATTTAATGGATAACTCCCACAACTTTCCCTAGAATTGAAGAAAACACTTATTTTAAAAGGTAGAGCCTTGCGCTTTGGTATATATACACAATTCTACACTATATTTAAGACCTGAAAATTTCAAAAACATCGAACTATAAACTCCCAACTTGTTAAGGGTTCCTTTGGTTCCTTTGCATGCAAAGTGTATTCAGCATCATGGAAAATACTCTGAAAATCAATAAACTAATTGCTGTTTCAACATTAGGTGCACAATGCCAAAGTCAGCCCTCGTGGAAGACGGCATTTGTTTATTTTCAGCTGAAATTTCTGCGTTTTATGTTTTGGAAGTTGATGTTTAATTTGTCCGTCTGGCTGTCTGTCTGTTGTTGTAGTTGTTGCCTGCTGCCTGACTGGCAGCTCATTGTTATTGTTTATCGTTTCATGAAAAACTTTCAAAAACTCAAATTGCACACACACACAGCAGCCCCTCGAGAAAGAAAGTTCGTTGGCTTGGCTCTCAGAGTCTCAAACAATCCGTTTGATTAGCATAACAAAAATGATGACTAAAATCTCTAGAGTTTGCCAACTCTTTGTCACAGATGTCGTAACTTGTTTTTTTTTTCGCCTTATTTTTTAATTGATTAAAGTTTCTGTTGGCGGCGGTTTTTCATATGCCTTCGGGCGCTTTTCATTATTGAGCTCAATTATTAATTTGGTCTGCGATGTGAGGCAACAAATTGTTGGGCCTTTGTTTCTTTTTGGACTTCTCGAATTTATGTAAATATTTTCATTATATAACATGCGATTTTCCCTCGCATAGTTCAACAAACCTGCTCTCTACTAATACGATTAGGTTTTGTTTACTTATGACTCAGGTATTCATAAAACGCGTCCATTTGAGAATATTTGCGTGTGAATCGGAGACCAGGCAATGAGTTCTAGAAACTTATCTGGACGTGGTTTACAATTTAACGCGCTGTGTTGGTCTATTGATTATTATTATTATGCCAGAGGTTTGTCATACTTATATAATATTATAATAAATATCAAATAAATTATATTAGTGGTTTTCCACAGCAGCAAATAATTAGCAATATTTAAAGCGCAAATTACCAACTGCTAATAAAATTAGAGTGCAAAGTAGATGCTCAAGAGTTCTGCTGATTATTCAAGTGCAAATGGACGCGGCGGGAATTTTTTTTCAATTTATCTAAAAATACGTTTTTAGACGTCTATAATCAATGATCTATAATCCATATTTTACAATCCATAATATATAATCTATAATCTCTCATCTATAGAACAACTATAATCTATAAAACATTTTGCCTTCCGATAATGTTAAAGTAAGCCAAGCCTTGATCGTTTTAGATCATCATCATATATAAATTTAGACAAACTTGGTAACTGTCAAAAATTAAACACCTTAGCAGCTTGAGACAGTCCTCTATAGTCGCAGCAAACAAATATATCACAATAACGACACATTCATTTTGCCTTTGTTAACAGGATATAAGAAATCGTTTAGAATTCCCAAACAGTTCAAACTTCAGCTTCGTTAAATGATTTGCGTCAGCTAACACAGATTGCGAATCAGTCAAAGGCATATGACTAAACTCTAATTAGAATACTAGAGACTTTACAAGTGTGAAGAATATGTAATTAATAATATATATATATATTTTATTTTAATGACCAATAGACACCTCAGTTTCAAGGGGTTAGAAAGCAAACCTTTCTAGAATTTACCCAATTATCTTGAATGTGTCAACGTGACCTAAGTGCGTTTATAGCTGCCTTATTATATTCGAAAGTATCTGCCACTTGAAAAGGCTTATTACACCAATTTAACACGACAATTAGAACTGCGACATATCGAGCCGCTTCCTGTACAAAAAAGAGACGCAAAACAACGCAACATTTAAAACTCACCCTAAATTAAATGACATAGTTTCATAGCTTCAGAACAGGTCGAACCCCCATACACTCTCTTCGCCCCCGGCCCTGCCCAAGCCTAATTTTGAAATAATATGCTACCTCTGTTCACTCAGGCAAAGAAACCCAACAAGCTAAAATCTGTAAAGAATCTGTGTTGTAGTTGCGACAGTGTTGGCAAATGCCGCAGTAAAAAAGTAGCTAAATTCGATGCTAAGAAAGCTAAAATATGAAAATAGCTGATATAGCAAATTGGCTTAAATCTGTAAAGAATCTGTGTTGTAGTTGTTGTGACAGTGTTGGCAAATGCCGCTTAAAAACTAGCTAAATGCGATGCTAAAAAAGCTAAAAGAAAGAAATAGCCGTCATAGCTTGCTAGACACAAATTGGCAATAGCAAAAGAAGCTAGATCAGCTAAATATAACAACTGTTGCTTGCTCCTGAAAACCTCAGCATTTAGCTAGAAAATGGCTAAATTGGCTGCACTTACCCTCTGTAACGTGCCCTGATCGAGGCAGTGCGTCCTTTTTGGGCACGGCGGCCGTTGTCGTTGTGAAATTATTCATCTCCCTTTTGTTGTTGTTGTTTTTATTGAGAGGAAGAGAATTAGAGCCAGAAATGCTCTTGCCAAAGTTGTTGTCTTTGTTGTTGTTGTTGCTGCGCTTGAACAGGTGTTTTAATTATGAGCTCAAGGACGCGCCTTGTTGTCGCTTTTGTTGATGTTGTTGTTGTTGTTCGCTCAATTTCAGTTTCAGGTTTCGGTTTGATGCTGCCGCGCCTTCCAGTTGAGCGGCGACGGCGACGGCGGCGGCGTCGCTTTCAATAGATAAACAACAACAAAAACCTGACTTGCTTTACTTTATTTTAGAAATTTTTCACTTAATTGCGTCTCGTTTATGCTGTGTGGCATCCACTTGTGCTTAGTTATGCTGCTTGCAACGCATTTCACTTTCACGCCACGCGATTTATTTATAAAATTCACACCAACTACACAAACACACACACACGAAACACACAAAAACACAACACAAACAGAACGCGCGCGTCTACGGGGCAGCTGCAATTGAAGTGTCTGCTGTCTCGCAGAATGGTCGCAGATTTTGCCGCAAATGCTCAACGCGCCCGCAGCTCATGCAACAGCGAAAGCCGCTCAACGAATGCGGCCATGGCGATGGTTGGCTTGGTGTCTAACATATCGATAGCTCGATAGTTTTCGTGCAACCGAAACTGTTTTGAATATTCAAAATACATAAGTGTAGCAAAAATACTAAAATAATATATGTTTTATACTTTGAATGCGAATTGCATTACTCTTTATTGTCTCAAAAAGTCAGTTAACGAAAAATATCGCATTTTTGCGCTTATTTAGTTCGTTATGATCCCATTAATAACTATCGATATATCGATAAGCATCGGCAGCTGAGCGCGCAAAGTGAAAAGTGAGTAAAAAGTGTTGCCAGATGCCACAAAAATTTGAATTTGAATTTACAACTAAAAACGGTTTTAACTGATGAGTTGTTAATTTAATAATTTAAAAATGCATACTTAATATATCAAATAAAATATATTACACATACAAAATATATATATAAAATATGTAATATATATTAAATTCACAGAGTTTCGCTGCGCAGCCATGACACCAACCCGTCCGTTAGCCAAGACCCACACCATATTTTAAACTGTGTTCGCTCAAAACTGGTTTCGCTCTGCGCCCAGCAACAATATTTAACAACAAATTACAGTTTACAACAATTAACGCATCACATTGTTATTGTTGACTCATGACGTCAAGTGCTTGTACATATTTATAAGTGCTCAAATACTGAATCCTACAATATCTCAATGCTAGCTTCAAGTAGTAGATGTCAAGCTGCAACTTCCTAAATGCCTTGCAGAAGAGTTGCAATGATTTCTCTTCTTTTTTTTGTTTCATAAAAAAACTGCACATTCCAATGAGTTTTCATTCATAAAAATAAACAAACTCAGGTGATGGAGAAACGCAACTGCTGAGCACATGAGTCAACGCAACTGTTGCGCTTTATCAGGCATTTTGGCCAACGGAAATAAAATGTTATTAATTTTAAATTGTATTTGATCTCTAGCAAATTTAAGGAATTTCGTTGGTAGCCCAGTAGCCAAGTTGGGTTCAAAGTATGCTCAAAAGATACTCAACGCAAATTACAAAAATAAAATAAATAACATCGGGACGTAAACTTTGGCGCGCCGACGTTTAAATACCCTTGCAGACGAACGTTTGTTCATATAGGAGTCATATAATATATTTGTCCGGTTTGATACGGTCTTTTAGATAGATGTGGGAAATTGTGAAGCTCGTATTTGCCGAGTTTGTTGAAAATTTCTTGAACAAAATAGAATATCTACTTTTCAGTATGATATAGTAGTTCCATATTGATTAGATTTGGCTTAAGTGTGGGGGAGCGTGGTTGGAGTCGTAAGTGTAAGGTTAAGTTTAATTATCCTTAAAAACCAAAACGCCTTTCATATAACAACTTGATAATTGACCGATCGCTCCTATGAAAACTATATAATAAGTGGTCCGAGGCAAATAAGAAATTTTTTAGAACTTTTAATTGTTAAATTAAGTCAAAAGATCCTGAAAAACTTAAAATTTCTTTATGCAAAAACTAGATTATTGATCAAACCCATGGCTGCAATATGATATAGTGGTCCGATTTTGAAAAATCGGAAATATTCAATTTATGTAAGATATCTTGACTAAAAACTTTTTTCAAACAAGAATTTGTTTTCTGATCGTTCTTTTCTATGGCAGCTATGTGATATAATAGTCCGATCTGATCGATTCTTGCAACAAAAATACAGATCTTAACAAAGTTACAGAATTATATCTTTAAGACTACGAGATATAGACACCGATAGATGCACATCACTACATCGACTGGGAGGTTGATACTAATCAAGAATATATATATATGTGCTTTATGAGTTCGAATATATATAATTTTATTATTTTCTTCTATAACATTGTGTCTTAATTTTTATTCTTACAAATATTTACAGCCAACTATCAGCTATAACCCTTCCTGTAACGACTGACAAAATGGAAAGGGTATCAAAAAAAAAAAAAAATGGAAAACAAAACTCGGCTAGCTAAACCACGTACGCTTACCAATACCTGCATAATATGCACCTATACGTGTGTCGGGCCTAGGAAATCAGTTACCTGCCATTTCGCAGATACAATTGTATTTCGAGATAAATACGCGCGAGAGAGAGAAGAATCGTTAAACAAACAAATATAAACAAAAGTCAAGTCGAGAAGTTGAGCGCATTTTGCTACTGAGAACGTCTCGGAGTATCTTTCTAGCAGACACTATAGATGTGTGTGTGCGTGCGTGTGTGTGTGTGTGTGTGTGTGTGTGTGTGTGTGTGTGTGTATCTGTGTAGAGGTTGTCCGAGCGCTGTTTGGTAAGAGTCAACCACGCGATCGCTTTTGTTGCCAGTTTCGCGTTGAGTGTGGCTCGAAGCAAGTCGCTGGCGGCAGACAAAGCAGAAAACTCGCGACACGAAGGCTGCAAACAGAAAATTTTTTTTTAAATAAACAAAAAAGTGGAAAAAGGTGTTCAATTAAAAAGAAAAGCTGCAAGCATTTGTGGTTCATAGTTAGCAAATAGTTTTGGCAGGCTGCCAAAAAAAAAAACAAGGCACAAAATTTGCACAAGTGAAACTAGTTTCAAAAGCGGCTCACACATACACACACACGCACACATATATACACACACACACCCTCTACACTCAACTCAAGCGAACTGAACTGGACTCAACGCTGCGCGATCCCCAAAACGAAACAAAATTCAAAAAAGAAAGAAAGAAGCTTGGCCAACAAGTTAGCCAGCGTGCGGGCCGGGTTATGAATCATAGCCAAGCGTGCTGCGAGCCAACAACTTCGGCAGAGCCCACCTCAGCGCCTCTGCGCGCTATGTAAACCAAACAAAGGCAACAGAGCAACAACAGAGCAACAACAAACCGACTTTAAGTCCGAAGCAGGGAGAATTTTGAGGCGACGTTCCATGTCTGGCCGGGAAATGCGTCCACTGTCGCTCTCCATTGGCGCCTCGCTGCTGCCCAGCTTCTCGCTGGCGACCGCCGCCTCAAATAATGCCGGCGTCGGCGGCAACAACAATTCCGGCCGGGATTGCTATGGCAAACTCTGTCATACCGTGGATGAGTACTGTTCCATGTTCGCCGAGAGCTGCATGCCCTGTGCGAGCATCTGTGACGACAGTTCGCACAATTATCACGCGGACACCTGTATCAAGGAATGCTCAGGTGAGTCTGACGATCAAATCGCAAACCATTTGCCAAGAGACTGGCTCTATAATTAAATTGAAGTTTTCAATTCATATTGCGAGAAGAGATTGTGAGGCTGAAGAAGGGCATATGCGGTCAGACAAAAAATGTTAAATAAATAAAATAAGTAAATAAATAAACTGAGGAATAAAATAAAGAAATTGACTAAAGAATTAAGTAAATTGTAAAAATATAAATTGATAGAAAAAATATTTACAAAAACATTTCTTTGTTGCAGGAAATTATTTTTTTTTATTTATTTGCTTTAGAAATAAGTTTTTTTGTTTAAATTTATTTATTTATTTGTTTCAGCAATAAGTTCTTTTGTTTATATTTATCGACTTTCTTTTAAGCATTTGGGATAACAATTTTGTGGAGTGTGGCTTTTGTGCGCCTTTGTGCTCAGGTATATGTTGCAGCCACGCCTATTTAGGGCGGACAAGCCACGTAAAACGATCTCTATCATCCACAACTTAGGAGCTAGATCCAAAGATCGAATAGCTCCTCCTTTTCATATTACCCAAAGTCACAGTTTAAGCGACACTGATAGTTTTAGAGTCACCAGACCAGTGAAACTCGACAGAGTATTGTGCAGTCGGTTGCAGCCGGCTTTTTTTTATACATATTTCTCCATTGAACATCTCTCGTCTCGAGCTCACAGCAGTTAATTGTCGTTTCCTAAACAATTGATTAGCTCATTGTTTGTTGACTATGCAAATTCGATTGGCTACTCGATAAGTAGCTGTTGCTATTAACAGGCAGGTTCACGGGTTTTTGTTTAATATATAGTTACAGTTACCTAATCATCAAATGATTGCAAACACAAAATAAAATTTCCGGGGTTCGGTTTGTGGTTTGAATCATTTTCCTTGCCTTTGGCTGCAGTTCATGATTTTTTTGTTTTTTATGCAAATAATTTAATGTAAATAAAATTTAATTTAAATAAATAAAATTGAATTAAAAAAGAAATCATTTAAATAAAAAACAAATCATTTATAAATAATTCGAAAGCGCTTTCTTTACCCCTTTTTTGCTACGGTCTGCTTTAGGCTTGGGAACGCCTGCTTTTTGGACTTCGGCTCAAGGATCAGGTCAAAGAAAAACAAAAATTCATTTAATTGGACAAATTTAATGCGATTATTCACAAGGATATAATATCACAAATATATATTTTTAGCAAATTATTCGTCTATAAATAGATTCCTTTTTAAATTGGTATTTACTTGGTATTAATTATACAAAGAATGTTATTGTTATTTGTGGGAATAATTGCTAAAAGTATTAATCTAATTTTTGACTTTCCCTGACTTAGATGGCTTTTGTCTAGAACAATAATAAAATTCATATAGCGGCCAGATATTCCAGCCAATATCCTGCTCTTTACCTTAACGATTGCGTCGCTTAGCCAACCAGAGATTCGAGCCAGCATCCTTCTAGACAACTCTTCCATTGCGAACTACCAAAACTGCATAGAAAGTTCTATATATTCTGGGACAATAGAAAACTCCATATATTCGAGCCAGCACTCTCCTTTTTGCCTAAACGATTGCGTCTCGTAGGCAACTCTTCTATTGAGAACTTCCCAAAACCTAACCTAATATCAGCCTAATCAATTTCTCTTGATCCCTTTTCCAGCCTACAACAGCTATGAGCCTCTCAAGGCCGACATACACAACATCCAGAGCAATCAGCAGGTGATGATGCTGCTGCTGAGCATCATCTGTATACTGATTGCCCTACGATATGCGGTGAAGTTTTTGAGCTGGTTCCGGCACAGCACTTGCCTAAAGCGCTTGAAGAGCCGGCTGCTGCCCAAGCCGCAGCAGAGCAATGCCAATGGCAAGGATCTGAATGCCACCACGATGCAGAATCCGAATGCCTTTTACCGTGACATCGAGCGGGCGCCTTCGCAGATCAACAGCGTGGCAGGTAGATTACAGATTTATTTGACTACCTGCATTTTGGGCAATCATTCATATTGCAATCGTTTTTCATTTTACAAGCAGGCGCTGCCGAGGGTTCCGTGTTGACCACGCCGACACGCTATCCGGCGGAGAATAGCACAACACCAACAACGGTGGTAACTGAAATCGGGTATGTGTATGATAATCAGGCAATGGTTGTCACGCCCGTTACCGAGAAGCCGGGACCGACCGCAATGGCTGCCTTTTAAAGAATTTTGTTCATCCGGAATTGTCATCTCAAACATTACGAGCAACAATGTGCATCAGATTGAAACTAGTGATATTTTGTATATTTTAAAAAACATGTTTTCCATTGATATTGAAGAACGCTGAAATACATTACTTTAAGACTAATATGGCACTAAATATAAATACACAACTCTTATAATATTCAAAAATTGTTCGATTGTTAAGAAATTTGTAGATTTTCGATTAATTGTGGCGGCCAGGCGATTTTCTGTTTATCAGTTTATCAACACATCATTTGGTATGTGCGATAAATTGTGGCGGCTGGTTGATGAGTGTTGGTAAATGCAGTGCGTGTCAATCGAATTTTTAAATCAAAATGAATACCAAGAAAAGGAAAAGGCCGTGTGTAAGCTTACAAGTATTGTCATTTATTTTAAAAATTCGTTATTCAAATCGTTTTCTAACACAAAAGACTCAACATTAAATAATATTGAAAGTTGGCAAACTCTTATAATTATAACTCCTATATGCACATATACATATATAATGCAAAATATGTGTATGGCTTTTTAGTAGCAAATTTACGTGGTATCAAATGCTTTTTAGAAACTAACAAAGTCCGTTTGCTTACAACTAGAACGTGCGAACCTCATAAATCAGCCTTAAACGTATATTAAATCTATAGCTAAATAAATAAGTTAAGACTAATTGTGTCGTAATTGTGTTTTGTTGTTCCTCAGACCCAATACTGATTTCGGCGCAGCAACGGATTTGTGGGCGGCGCCGAAGGCGGCGAGCTAACCGAGCCGGAAATCGAAATGCTCTGCGGCACGGATGCATAGCCAGCAAAATCGTTGGCCATGTCACAGGACGAGCTCCAGGCATCGTGATCCACGTGATAGGGATTATAGCGTTGCGGCAGCATCATCTGCTGCGGATCGCACTGATCGTCCGTTTCATCCTCATCGGGATCGTAGTCGGGATACTCGTGCTTATACGATTCCACGGGTATTATCTTGCAGTGCGGTATATTGCTGAAGCCCGGCAGCGGCGTGGAATTTCCAGTTGCCGGCACCGAGTCCGCCTCGGAGCTGGCATAATGATGATGATGATGATGGTGATGCTGTGGACTGACCGACGTCAGGTCCGGTGGACAGGGCAGCGGTGGCGGCTGATCCTTGGATATGTCCGCCTTACGCTTGCGTATATGCCTCATCTTGAGCAAGAGCAGGACAATCAGCAGACAAATGAGGAGTATGAACAGGGCACAGCCCACGGCCAGGTAGTTAATAGATATATCCGCATTGCCCAGATGCACCGTTTCCGTTTCCTGCAGCTGGGCACGATACTCAATGGCGACTGTGGCCTGTGCCGGCTGCACGGTTTTGATGAGCAGCTGATAGTCAAAGCTATCAGTGTCCGCCTCCGTCTCATCCACGGAAGCGTGCGGCACAAAGTAGACAACCCCGCTGCGCAACTCCTTGTACGAGAAGATGTTGGTGGAGCGTTCATTTTGGGCATCGCCGCCATTGAATCCCGTCGTGCTGCTGCGTATGATCTTCCGCAGCTGACCCGTGGCCGGCATGCGCGTGACGACAAACTTGGGATTGAATTTGTTCAGCTTCAGCGAGAGCGGATTGTCATTAACCAGATAGCTGGTCAGCCGGATCTTGCCAGCCGTCGCACCCGAACCGGACTCCGCCTCACGCATGGCTATGTCGTTGATCTTGATGACCGGCTCCACATGGACCAGCACGTCCACCTGGGCGGCATAGTTGCTGCCCGGCACATAGGCGCTCACCTGGAACGTGTCATTGGACCGATTGAGATCGGTTTGCATGTAGCTGATCTGCGATGTTTCCAGCTGCTGCTGATTGAACCGCAGCGTCGGCTGATGCTTAAACAATATGATGCCATACAGCGGCGAGTTGGTTATGTTATAGGCCAGCCGGTCCAGCTTCACGTTCGTGCTCAACCCAATCTGCTCCAGCCTCATCGCCGCACTGGTGGCGCCCTGCTGCAGACTCACCGGCGTCTGTGTGCCCGCCGGCAGCAGACTTATAGGCGCCACTTTAATCGTGAATATTTCATAGGCTGGATTAAATTGGCCATCCGTCACGGTGAAGCAGAAGGTCGTCGACTGCGGCATGCCAAAGTGCACATAGATGATGCGATCGTTGTTGATGTCCGCCTGCGTGAACTGATTGGAGAAGGCCAGCAGCTCCTCCGGCTGGCCATCGTTGTTCAGCTTCTTGAGCACGCCCAGCGTCGGACCGCTCATCACATCATAAATAATCTCCTCCGGCGGCGTATCCTTATCCTCCGTGAGCAGCACATTGCGTGTTATCGTTCGATTCTCGCCCTCAACCACCGTCATTTGGGGCAGATGGGTGACCAGCTGGAAGGGCTGATCGTTGATCGGATTTATGGACACGGGTATCGTCAAATTGCACAAAAATATGTTCCTGTAAAGGTAAATATATAATTAAAGATTTATTTTGAATTGTTTATGTACAGAAAAAAAAAATTAATTCAATTTTTAATTCATTTTTTTCTTATTCTTAGATCCGTGAACCCAGATCTGTGATCCAGGACTATTTCCAAAAGTAAGTAGATCAATTTAATACAAAAAACCAAGCTTCAATTTTAATTGAATACATTTTTTTCTAGAATTCAATCCTTGTTCAACTTACCCCTGCGTGAGATAGACGCCCATAAGTATGGTATCCTCCAGGGTATCCGTGTGGTCGTGTATGTAGTACACTTTCTTGGTGAAGAAGTCGCTGGGATGATATCGCTGCATGGACTTAAACTCGTGGCCGAGACCAATGCTGCCGTGCGAGGGCTTCTGTGCGGCCTCTATAAACAGTTCCGGATTGTTGATGCCCGCCCGCGTTTTCAGATACTCCAAAATCTTGGAGAAATCCAGCTTGATGGGCACCGAGCCGCCCTCGTCCACCGTTAGCTTGGAAACGGGCAAGAATCGCAGTAAGCCACCCGAAGATACCGATATTTCTATATTGAACTTTTGATCCAACAGGCGATCGCTGCGCTCGGCCACCACGTCAAAGTAGAAGGAATCATTGATGCGGAACTCCATAATGACCGCTGTGTGTTCGTAGAAGATGTGCCCGTTGTCCACATCGTTCTGGGTAAACTCGCTGATCTCCTTCGCATAGCCATTGCCCAGATATTCGTTGACGATGCGTCCCAGACTCGGCGGAACTGTCACATTGTAGCGTATCTCGCGCTCCTCGTCTGAGCACTTGAAGTGCAAATGATCGCGCAGGATTTGCTTCTTAGTGAGCGGAAAGACGTGTAGATTCTCGTTACGCTCGACCAGAATCTCAATGGGCTTGATCTCTATGTTGAGCAACTGGGTGCTGGTATTGAAGAGTCCATCCGTGACCACAAAGGAGAGCTCGTTCTTCCGGGAGTTCGCATCGTGCATGAAATAGATCTTCTCGGCGTTGAGCTGCGCCTGCGTAAACTGTTCGATCTTGTGCAGCGTGGAGGATTTCTCGGCCAAGTAACCGCCGTAAATGTGATGCACAATGTACGTGAGATTCTCCGGCGGCGTGTCATAGTCCTGGGCCACTAAAAACAGAGATTGTCAATCAGTCAATCAATCAATCAGTCAGTCAGTCAGTCAGTCAACTTACATAGATCTGTATTCCGGATGACATAGCGACCGCCATTCCACACCTGCAGACCCGTGTTGGTGACAATCATGGGCTCCTCATCGTTGACCGGCACCACCGCAAGCTCCAGGTCAAAGGGCACGCTCTCCTTGTTCCTGGCCATGGCAACCATGGTGAGGCTATCCGTGCTATTCTCGCTGCCATTGTGCACATACTGTATGCTGCCCTGTTCGAGTTGTTTTTGTGTAAAGCGCTTGACCTTTGAACTGCCCGCCAATATATGACCCGAACTGGGCGTTATGGTGACTATATACTCCAAGATCTTTCCCCGATAATACTCCGAATAGGGCTGTATATCCGTGGCGCTCAACTGCACCGTCTTGCCCTCCACCACAGAGATGATGTTCGCGTGCATGTACAGCTTTTCCGGTATAATGACGATCTTTAGCATCAGCTGACGCAGCCAGGTAATCCCGTTGGTCACATCGAACACAAAGTAATCCGAGGATTGATTAACACCCGCTTGAATATAGAACATCTTTTCTGTATTAACCGACGACTGATCGAAGACCTTGCAGTTGTATTCATCGTCAAAGGACATCGACTGCATTTCCAGATACCCGTGCATCGGCGAGGACGTTACCAGGAAGGTTATGTCACCCGGCGAAATGTTGGGATGCACGACCTGAGATCAGTTGAGATTCGTTTGGGTATTATGTTCGAGTTCGAAATATCTGCTTCTTACTAACTTACCTCCAAAATATCACGTGAGATTAGGACACTTGTTGATTCCTCCACATAGAGCGTGTGATTCTGTTTCACCTGCAGCGGCTCCCAATAGGCAGAGGGATAGATGCGAAAGATGACCTCACCTTCGGCTGTTATGTTCTTTATGTGCACACGATATCTGTAAAGAGATAATATTTTTTATTGGTCACGATAAGAAAACTAAGGTATCTTTTCTTTAATTCATAGGAATAATCTACGGTAAGATATATTTTAACCGAAAAAGAATGATTAAAATTGGATTAATATCGACCTACATTATAATATAGCTCCTATAAGATCGATCGGTCCAATCGCACGGCAGAGAGCGTTTACCCTTCCGTGGGATGATTGTGACTTTTGTGAGCGTAAGAAATAATTAATGTGTGAATGCTTTACATTCCGTTATATGTGTCGACTGCAGGCAGCAATCGCAGCAGAGAGCGAGCATTGTGAATCATATGAGAGGGAGAAGTCAGTCATTGCCACGCCATTGGTCGCACTGCTTTTGATCCCGTTATCAAAAGTGTGGGCGCAGGAGTTGCAATATTTGTGTGCTCTTTGTTGTGATTGTATTGGTGTGAGTGCTGGATCAGCGTAGGCGCGAGCTTTATAAGGCGATTTAGTCTGTGCGCGTCTGTCCTGTAAACCGGTCGTGTTTTTTTTTTCCGCGTGTGAATAAAAACGTTTGCCAACAAAGTAAAATAAACTTAAACGAGAGTAATTTGTGCCGTGTGTGTTTGTTATTGGCAAATATCATATGTGTATACATACATATATCTATATTTATATG